TTGTCACTCTCTGGCTTTTTAAATTGTCTGGCATTCTCTGTCATCCCCTCAAAAGAATGCAAGCTCCCGTGGGCAGGGCCTTGTCTTCCACGGTACCCCCAGTTCCTAGAATAGTCTTACACTTAGGAGGGTCTCAGTAATGTTTAATGAATGGGTGGATTTCTGAACACTTGGAACCAATGATACTTCTTCAGCTTGAAAACTACAATCCCTAGATCCTTTTGTCTCTCTGGGGGACTTGACATACTGTTAACAATATCCTATTTCACTCTTCGCTGCTGCTAGAATTTGTATTACCTAAAATTGACCCAGGTAAAGAGGTGCTGTTGAGGAGGAGTTGGGTGAAAATAGAGGATAAGGGGGTGACTCCAGCTGTCCCCAGTGCCTCTCTCTCCCGGTGAGGGGATGTCTGCTGGTATTTGGACTGAGGGGCCAGACTTTTGGCAGAAGTTGCTACTGTGGATGGAAACATTTTCCTACCTTGTTCCTGATCGCACTACTGGTTTTCAAAGCCTAGGAACGGAATGGTCATGACCCTTACTGAGCTAACCAATCAGGTGGCTGATTAGTGATAAGTCTTACACAGGTTGGCAAACTGCTGATGGATACTTCTTGTTTGCAGCACCATTGTGCTTTATGCCATTTTTGTGTTTAGATGGATATTTAACTATGAAGTTCGGGGAAAGGTAAGAGGGTGTTACCACAACCCAGAAGCCCACAGGTACTGCTGGTAATCAAACAAATGGGATATTGACATAGTTTTACTTTCAGCTTGTATCATTCAAAATCAGCTGCAAAGAATTGTGTTTTAATGCACTTGTTCAGTTTTTTCTTTACATAGTCAATGTCACTTCTATAAGTAATGAACTAATAGCATGCATCTAGTAAATCAAATCATAGTTGAAAATTATTATCAATTACCTCCACAGTCAAGGGCATTTGATATGGACCTTGGTCTTCTAATCTATGAGATGGGCATAATAGTATTAATATCTAGTTCAGAGGTGGTCATTGAAATTAAGTTTTATGCTAAGTATAAAACTCTGAATAGAGAACTTGACACAAAACAAGTTCCTATTGATGTAGATTGAAGTTGATACTGCTTTTATTTTCTCTTATCTTTAATATGTTGTATGCAAAATGCCAGGGCCTATGAAAGACCTGTTTATTAAGGCAAAGTTGCTATATATTTTTTTAAAAAAAATGATAGTATATTATGCCTGATCGTGCCTGAGTGTGGCTAGAGGTAGGTGCACATTTCTGCATATGAGTGTGAAGCAATGAAGAAAGAAAGAGATAGCTCATGGACTGGGACATCTGATGGGTCAAGGTGACCCACGGAGGGCACTACTTTCTTTCATGTGTCTCCAAAACCCATGTCCAATCCTTAACAGATTTACACAGTCATAAAGGTTTGATTTCATTGGTCCATGAGGGATTGGTCAGATTCTTAGAAAAAAGAAGTCAAAGGTAGGAGATGTCTAACATCTTGAATGCCTATTTCTTATAAATCGTGTGATACATTTTATAAATGCTATTTGATTTAACCCTAAAAAACTCCCTCTCCCTCTTTTTTGTAGGAAAGGGAGAAAACTTAAGCTCACAGAGGATTCAAATAACTTGCCCAACCAACGTCATGTCGTGGTAATAAGTGACTGAATCAGCATTTGAACTCAGGTCTGTATGGTTTCAAATTCTCGTCCCTTCCTACCACACAGCCTCCCTTGGAGACTGACAAGTGCTAAGCGTCTTAGTTATAAGACTAACACATAAACCAGAATGATGTGTTATTTCACAATGGTGCTTGGACCTTTCCAGTGAGTGGAATACCTAAACCTGCCATTTCAGATATTCATTTATGATTTAAGAAAAATATATTACTTGAGAAGTAAAATTTCTAACAAGGGTGGAAATCCACTTAGTCTGGAGGGATAATTCCTTATTTATTTATTTATTTTTTAATCAGAATATTATGGGGGTACAAATGTTTAGGTTATGTATATATTGCCTTTGCCCCACCTGAGTCAGAGCTATGTAGCGTGTCCAACCCCAGACGGTGTGCACTGCACCCATTAGGTGTGAATATACCCACCCCCTCCTCCCCACTCCCACCTGCCTGACACCCAGTGAATGTTACTACCATGTTTGCACGTAAGTGTTGATCAATTAGTACCAATTTGATGATGAGTACATGTGGTGCCTATTTTTCCATTCTTCTGGAAAAATATCTTGTAATACTTCTGAGTTCATTGGAATCTGCCTGACCAATAGGCCTGGCCAAATCTTTCTCTCTGTTTTGTGTGCTCTCCTCTATGCAGGCTGCCTAATGCTCTGCCCAGCCGATGCCTGGGGAAGGCAGCATTAGGCCCCGAGGCACGAGCTTTCTTCCGTGTCCTTGCTCCTTTTCCTCTGTTCCAGTGGGGCTACTCTGTGTGCCCTTTTGCTGACCCGGGAGTGGTAAGATCTACTGCAGTTGAAACTTGAAGGAGAATGGACAGAACTAGTAATTTACCCTGCTCTGGCCTGCGGCTACTTTGGCCTCCACTTCCTCCACTTGGTCTAGCCTGGTTCACCAGAGCCCTGCGGAAATATTCGGGGGCCAAAGCCCCAGCCAAGCGATGGGGCTGATCCGCTTGGCTCTGCCTTTCCAAGCCTGCTCCTCTATGGATCCTCAACAGAAAGAGAGAAGTAAAAATCTGGATTTTCCTGAATCTGGGTCAAAATAACACAACATGGCTTTTATCTCATAATTGTCCCCAACATTCTGTGTATGTTTGGCAGATTCCATATTTTTCTCACTTGCACACAGTTGGATCAACACTGCCAAAACCTTGGTTTTAGATTCCCTAACTAAACTCTATGTAAGCCAGCCCCCTTCTGCTAAAACACTTTGTCTTCAGGCAAAAATGATAATATTCTTGCACATCAGCCCAATTGTGATGGAGCCTTGAAGAGACTGCATTCAACGACAGTCCTGCTTCATTGGACTTCATGATTTCTCCAGGTTTTTAGCCTAGAACTTGCAGAACTTCTCTTTCTGTGATGCACAGAAATAATAGCTAAATGGCTGACTTATCCATTCATTAGGCATTAGTTCTATTCTTTTAATCACAGAGCTTCATCTTATCTCTAATTTTGGGCCATCTAAGTTTAGCTCATTTATATCTGATTTTATTAAGTAAACTTTGCTGCTGACCACTCCTCTAGAGACATATGGATTCATCTAAATGGGAAATTTATTAACACACTTATTTTTGCACAGACTGGTTATACTGAATGATCATACATGGCAGAAATCTGAGGAAATTTTTTTTACTTATCTCCATTCCAGGAGTAGCTACTATAAATACCACAGTAGACTCTATCATTCTTGTATTATTACCTGAACTATTTGAATTATCTCAATAAAGCTGTTTACCCCTCTTCCTTGACCCAGGAAATATAGAGTTCTCATGACTAAATAGGGAAAGTAAGGGGTTTAGGTAGAATAAGGTAGACTAGAGAGTCTTCAAATCATATAGCAACCCATTATCATCCAAGGACTCCCTACATAATGATATAATTTCTGTAAAAAGTTAAACTGAAAAATGTACTTTGAGTTTCAATTTCTACACACTTGAATACACCATAAGGCCAAACTTGGGTTGTTGTGAGTAGACAAAATAAAAATCATTTTAAATTTATTGGACTGAAAAAGCAGGAACACTATTCCTCAAACCAATAACCTTTCTCTTTAAGGCTATTTTCCTTCCTCATTAAATGGAATCATCTACTATGAGGTACACAGATCCACAGGCATGGGAACAATTCTCAATTTCTGACAGAAGGTGCCAATGGTATGTGGTCCATAGAAGAACCTTTAGTCTGGAAATTCTTTATGTTAGGGTAACATCAAGGAGAGATGTCTGAATTGCAAATGTCTAAGGTGTTGCTCCAGTATGGTTTGCACTGTTCCCATGTGTATTTATCAATATGCATCAACTCCTTTGGACTGAGAATTTATGGTGATAAATCATATGTCTTCTCCTCCTCCCCTGTTCTTCATTTCTTCGTCCTTTCCTTCTCCTCGTCCTCCTTCTCTTCTTCCTCTTCTTTTTCTTCACTCCCTCCCCTTCTCCCCTCCCTCTTCTTCCTCTACCACCGCCTTTCTTTTATATTTGGGATATAGTTAGACAATTTGAGCTAGATAGGATTATAGGATTACCATAGTGATATTTGAGCATTGATATTTGTTTTGATATTTGATATTGATATTTGATACTGGAGTGGCACCTGTTGATATTAGGTAGGACACATATGGATCTAAGTAATGTCCTTAGTGCCAAGATACCAGAAATATCAGTATCTGTCTAAACACCTTTGCAGTGCTATTGGTTTCTTTTTATGAAGTGTGAGCTATGATGATAGGAACATATGCATGGTTGCTGAGCTAGCAGGAAATTATGAAAGGTGTTAAGTGAAGTTTCTTAACCTATAAGAAACTTTATAAAAGCACACACCTTGATGAGCTTGAGAGATCACTTTGCTTACTCTCATCATGCTAATGTGCACCATAAGGTCATTAAAAATTCCTAAGATCATGCAAGACAGACAAGTCTATATCTTTACTATTATCCCCAAGCCTGCAGAAAGGCCAGAGCTATTGAGAAATGGTCACCTAATACTTTAGAGTCAGAAAGTTCTACAAAATCCAAGGGCCCTGATTAAAAGACACTAAACTGTAACTGTTTGTCATACATGCCCTTTAATTAATGCGACTGCAGAATGTCTTAGTAAAAAAACTCTCATCTCAGTTTTTTTATCATCAAAATTTTCAGTATAGTTTTTACACATTTTTATTTTTCATGGAAAAGAATCCCCCATTTCGAAATGGAATTTAATGGAAAACTAGGCTTTGCTAAGATGTATAATACTTATTCCATAATGTAGGACAAGTGTACCTGACCCTACAAGAAAGGTGTCATTTCTGGCATCTTTCTGGGAATAAAACAAAACCAAGAGACCCTAAATTTATATGATACACATTTAATTACCCGCATGTATAGCCCTAAGTGCACTGTTCAACAGATTTGTGTATTTAGTTAACTGAGAACTTTCCAGTAGTTTAGGATGGTGTATCTTGGTTGGGAAGCTAAGACCCGTGTTTTCCCAATAGCCACCTTCCTCCAGGATGACTCAGCTATAGCAAGAGGTTATTAAGTGACACACTTTAGGTCTGAAAAACTATTTCACACAAAAACAGATAATGCTTTTATTTATTGTTTGTTTTAATAATTTTCTTTATTAAAACTGTAGAGCATAACTAAAAATTACAATGCTAGTATTCATGTTTAAGTAAGAAGAGGACCTATTTTGCCATCAAGTATTAAATTGATGGAGGAAAAGGCCACTTAAGCTATATGATTTGAACAACTTTAGGTCAAATAAATATACAATATGTCACTGGGAATCATAAAACTGCAATCACAGCATAGCACACACATACATATACTCAGATTACTTAAATACTGTGTATGTTGTATTTACTGCAAATAATTCCTAAATTATAGGATAATTATAGGTCACTCCTTGATTTCCGGGGCTACATTACATTTTCCAACTTTAAATATGAAATAGGCACTGAAAATAAGTGTTAGTTTCTGCTCTAATGAAAACAACATGAATTTAAAAATTGGGATATCATAAAAGTAAGTATTCACTCTACTTGAATAAAATATACAACAAAATAGAGGCCCAGTATTTTTTCTACACATGTAGATGAGCTAATAATTCTGCTTTAAAATAAATAAAAATATATTTATATTGGTACTATCCTAGTATAGTTCTTAAAAGAGATATTTATTGATCTTATAATATCTATAAATAAAGCTAAACTTGTCTTTTTACCTACAAAGCCTTTAAATCTCATAAATTATTCCCAAGTGTTTGGCTGGGGAGGCTCATTCTGTCATATAACTTAAATTATCAAGTCATTTTGACTCAACAAGAATGACAAGGATATAATTCCTGCATTTGAGGTGCTTTCTTTAGATGGAGGAAGTTAAGGTCTATATATTTGAAAAACACCTTTGTGTGGTACAGGTGAATACATATTCAAAAAGATTTAAAATAACAGAGGGAACATTCAAAGCATGGAGTTAGTGGAGGAAATCCAATAAGAGGTGAGTATTGAGTTTTCAAATGATGCAGGACTTAGCTTGGTGGGGAATTATATTTCATAGGAATTTCATGGAAAATTTCCCCAAAGTCCTAAACTCTCTAGGCTTCATTAAATATTAAAAATATTTTTAAATGTCTCCCAATTTTAGAAATGTTTATTAGCAAAACTTCTAGTAAGAAAGGCCCACTGATAACAGAGCAATTGTGAGCAGAAAGGCCAGGCTGCCTTGATTCCCCATCGGCCACTGGGAGAGGGAGTGATGGCTGCATCCGAGGGCCAGGCCTCCTTCAGCCGGCGGAGTTGAAGGAGGTACAGGGTTGAGCACACCTCAGCACTCCCATGGATCCCGACAATTTGGAAGTGTCCAGGCTGCCTCTGGAGAGGTGGAAATAAATTGTTCCAATGTAGCATAAAGGGCCAGGGATGTGTGAGGCAGGATATCCACAACGTGGTACCCAACCCTGGTCCATGCCCGTTGTCCATGATGCCATTGTCAGGCTGCAGATAAGTAACACTCAGATGCTCTCCTTCATTGCAAGTCCCTGCCCTGTTTCATGGCCCTCTTCATTTTGACTCTGATGCCCACTAGAAAATTTTTACACCAAAAAAACTGACTAAGAAAGCCCTCCTGCCCCCTAGGGGTAACCAGCCATTACTTCTCAAGCTCCTGAGACAGTCAGGGAAGGAAAAAGCTGTGTCCAGTGGTGAGGCTGGAAAGACTCAGGGCCTGATCAAAAAGGGCCTGTGCACCAAGCTAAGGAGTCTCCACTGTACTTTTAGACAGAGGAGAGTCACGGGGACACGACACCCTCAGATCCATAGAGCGTCCCCACCAGATGTGAAATCCTTTTGCATTTTTATTTTTATTCATTTCTGTGAGTGGGGATGTGGTGGCCAGGCATGGGCAAAGACAAAGTCCCAGGGATAAGGGGAGCTCTTCAGCTTGGAAAGGAGAGGGGCCATTCTAGGGGTGGAGGGACAGCAAGTGGGACAAACACTGTCACAAGAGCTTTAGCAGGCTAGGCCACCCGAACACAGCTATGAAGCTCTTCCTGGTCTATGCATGCCAGATGCCAGCCTTGGGTGGGCTCACCCTCCTCTGGGACTCCAGGAACCTGCATGGGCCCTGCAGGGAGCAGGTGCTCAGTACCAGCTTGTGAACTGACTGACCGAATGAATGAATGAATGGACATGGGATGGCTTCATTCATACAGGGGATGGCTTCATTCATTCACAGGTGTGAAGGTGAAGGAGGGTGTGAAGATCCTGCAAAGGCCAACAACGTTAACAGCCCAGAGCTGAGTGGTGACTGAGAGAAAGGACAAGAGGTACTGCCTCTTTAACAACTACTTTGATGGGACTTGGGATACTGACTGAGGTAGGGACTAAAGGAGACTGATGAGTCAAGAATGACTCAGAAACTTCCGAGCCAGGCACCTGGGAACTGCACTCTAAAGAAGGGAAGAGGAAAAGCAGATTTTTGAGGGAAGACAAAAAAATTGGGTTTTAATAACAGAAAGCACTTTATTTATGTGTTAAGAGAGAGGTTTTAATCCCTTCTAACCAAGATTATCCATATTTATTATAAAAGCAAATATAACAAAGAATGCTTTCAAATGCATTAAATTTGCTTATTGAAATACAGATAAACTTGAGTAATACAGATTGTTTTCAGCATACTAGAGATGTCACACATTTCTCTCGGTAACTAAAGAAGATAGATGGTCAGATGAAACACAATAGTAGAGGAATCTAAGATAAAAAATTTTATTAGTGGAAGTCTCCCTAGCGATCAACAAACTCAACCCCATTTAACAGATGAGGAAATTAAGGGCCAGAGAGAGGCTAGCCTTCTCCACTCTACAGATGTTTAGGGCACTGAACATGTGCCAGGCACTTGCTTGGTGCTAGGTATATAAAAGTAAACAGTGCACAGTACCCGTACTCAGAAAGCTTACAGCTAGGGTAGCGGATGAAAGTATCCAGGAAGCAGGAAATTGTCACACAGCATAGTAAGTATTGTGAGAAATGCATGCTCGAGCTGCAGGGTGCAACTCATCCAGGCTTGGGAGCAGCCTTGTGAGTGACCTGGGAAGGAGGAGCAGAAGTCAGACAGGCATAGAGGTTGTGAACAGTGTCCCAGGAAGGCCAAGGTGAGGGCAAACCTAGTGCATTTAATAACCTAATGAGTTAGAGCCCAAGGGAATTCTAGTCCTGGACTTAGGAGACTATAGTCTCCTGACTCCCAAGTCAGTGCTATTTTACATAGAACACTGCCTGTCAATTGACAAAGATGTGAAGACTCAGCACATATATCAAAACTCTTGCATAGAAAAAAGGAAGCATTTGTGGCTCACGCTTAACCAGGTGTAGACGTTAGGATTTTTCAAACTCTCTTGCTTAAAATGTCTCTTTATAGGAATAATTATTTAGTATATTATAGTCTTCCAAAAATACTCATATCTGTTGGGTTATGTCATAAAACTCTTAAGTCTGGAAGGAATTTTAAGGGATCATTTTATTGGTGGCCAAGGAAGTGCAGGGCAGGGTCGGTGGGGTCAGGGAGCAGCCTGGCACTCTGGTGCAGCAGTGAAGGGGGACTTCTCTGCAGAAAACTTAAGAATTACTAACAAAACTGGCCAAAATCGTTCTATTTCTTATCATGGCCCATTCTGAACGAGGGCAGCAATAAAATACTCCTCCTTGGCCAAGGCAAACTGCTCCCACTGGCCCCCGCCCCTCTTTGTATGGCTCTGCACTGCGCACACACCTGCACACACAGGAAGCCCAGACCCAAACAGGCATCGGCAGTACCCGAAGTGTCCACATTAGCCATCCAGTCAGCTCACAAATCCTCTCCATTCAATTCTCTTCTGGAAACATGGCTTGAGTAGTCAAAACTCAACATACAAAAAAAAAAAAAAAACCATCCACAGCAATGTATATCTTCCTAAGATTATATTTATCTCCAATGAAGATTCTCACCCCAAACAGACTCAAGTCAGTCTCCAGCTGGGGCCACAGGCGGCTGACATGGTTGCTGTCACTTCTGCCTTTGCAGGCTACCAGGAGCAGTCCCCGCTCATCCTCTCCGCCTGGGCCGTCTGGCACGTGCTTGGAGGGGTGAACACCGAGGGGTCTTTAATGCCCAGCTGTATGTCAAAAAACCGCATGGACAATATCACACTGTAATTCTTGGTAAAGGTTTCCTGGACAGGATAACAGTCCTTGACCGTATAGATGCCAATCCAGGTTTCATCTATAAAAGGGAGAAAGTTGACTTTTTAATAGAGAAGAAAAGCCAGATGCTTATATTGTTTTCTTGTGATAAAAATGTACGTAACATAAAATTTACCATTCTAACCATTTTTAAGTGTTTGGGAGCATCGAGTATATTCACACTGTCATACAACCATCACCACCATCCATCTCCAGAACTTTTTCATCTTCCCAAACTGAAACTCTGCACCCATTAAACACTAACGCCCCATTTTCCTCTCCCTGGAAACCACCATTCTACTGTCTGTCTCTATGAATTTGGGTATCTCATATAAGTGGAATCATACAATATTTGTCCTTTTGTGACTGGCTTTATTTCTCTTAACATAATGTCTTCAAGGTTTATTCAGCTTGTAGCATGAACCAGAATTTCTTTCCTCGTTAAGGATGAATTATATTCCATAGTGTGTGTGTGTGTTTGTGTGTGTGTGTGTGTGTGTGTGTGTATGTAGAGATAGAACATTTTATTTATCTATGATCTGCTGATGGACATTTAGGATATTTCCACATTTTGGCTATTGTGAATAATGCCACTGTGGACATGAGTATAAAACCATCTGTTTGAGTTTCTGCCTTCAATTCTTTAGGATATATTATCGAGAAGTAGAACTGCTGGATCATATGGTAATTCTATGTTTAACATTTTGAGGCACACTGTGCTCCACAGCACGCATGCCTGTATGTGTAAAACAGTCTTGGGATGGGCATATTGGCAGCAGAGCTGAGAAAAGCTTCACATAAAAGCAGGACATTTGGACACTCAGAATAAAGGGAGTAGATGTGATCACTACAACTTTAGGAAGTGATGTGGCGGAAGGAAAAGGAAGCACCAATTCAAAGGTTTGCCCTAGAAAAAATGTTTTCCATGGCACAGACCTTGGGGTGATCAAAAAAAGTCAAAACCAAGGCTAAGTCCACACGAGCCAAACCAGCAGAAATGTCCAGGTGGCACTAGAAAGTTGGGGGAGGGTGTTTCAAATACTTAGATCCCATTGCCACATAATTAGCAAGATGGCATGGGCAACTAATGGGAGCTTTGAACAACTTAATGAAGCTTATAATTTCCCCTAACTAACAACTCTCATCCTTAATGGACTTAGACCTTTTCTCCCATCATGAGTCCTGGGCACAATGTTCAAACCCTTCTTTTCATCCTTACAGGATCTGGCTGACTTTCTGTCGGACCACTCCTGGACGGTGATCTGCTCCTGGGGCCCCCCGATGGAGTACTGGTCTTCAAAGGTGGAGTTCAGAGGAATGTCAAGAGGATCCCAGGGTTCCGTCAGGGTGATCTTTGAGCACTGCTTGGTGGCTTGTTCAATCTGAAACATCACTCCATCCTTATAGAGCAAAATATATTCAAATAGTCTGAAAGACAGGTTAAAAGAAACTAGTTTAGGACTTTATGTTATAGTCATCATGCCTTTGCCAGTAAAAAGGCCAAAGTCCTTTGATATAATTTACTTTTAAAATAGAAAAAAAATTAGGAAAAAATTAATTTTGCTTGCTAGGCAATCATTCACATTTAGAAACACACCAGGTTATGGACGAGGTCTGTTCCTGAGAAAGTGTTTAGGTAAGATTTGTACGTATTAGGTCCTTAAATATGAGATGTCCAATTTCTAAGCAAAAGTTTATTATATCTGAAACAAGAAGCCCTACAATTAATCAAAGTGTGTGCCTCAGCTGTCAACACAGTTTTGCTATCTTAAGGGTAGTTTGTTTATGCCTGGAAAGCAAGTGGCGATGAAATCGCGAAAGGCATTTTTCCACAGCTTGTTGAGAACTGAATATTTTTCCTTGCAAGAAGTAGTCCAAAGCCTGGAAGAAGTGGTGGTCAGTTGGTGCAAGGTCTGGTGAATACAGTGGATGACAGAGAGTTTCCAAATCCAGCCTCTATAGTTTGAGCAATGCTGCTTTTTGCAACATGTGGTCTTGCAAGAAGATTGGCCTGTCTCTATTGACCAATCTTGGCTGTTTATTCACAAGGATCCTCACCATTTCATCCAATTGGTTGCAGTAGATATGACTGTAATCAACTAACCAAGATTCATGAAGCTGTAGTGGATAATACCAGCACTGGACCACCAAATGATACCATTAGCTTTTTTTGATTAATATTTGTTTTTGGACTGTGTTTGGGCACTTCATCTTATCTAACCATTGTGCTGTACACTTGCAGTTGTCAAAAAGAATCCATTTTTCATCACATGTGTAGAAATAGTTCGCCTTTTTGTCATGACAGCAAAGAAAGGCAAGCTTTGAGATAATTTCTCTTCTGACGCTTGTTTAATTCATGCAGTACCCATCTACCCAGCTAATTTACCTTGCACATTTGTTTCAAATGGTCCAATATTGTTGGAATAGTAACGTCAAACCTTGCTGCTAATTCACACATAGGTTGAGATGGATTCGCTTCCACTATAGCTTTAAGCTCATCATTATCAACTTTAGTAACAGGTCACCCACATGGCTCACTTTCAAGATTAAAATCACCAGAATGGGACTTCTCAAACCATCAGAGTACTGTGCGTTCATTAGCCACATCCTTCCCAAACACTCCATTGATATTTTGAGCTGTCTGTGCTGCACTGGTTCCATGACAAAACTCATATTAAAAAATAACATGAATTTTTAACTTATCCATGGTTTCACAAAAATTGCTCTAAAAAAATTTTTTTTGGAAGATAATCACAAGTCAAAATGTGCATTTGAAAGAATGAGGATGTACCTTCATAATAAAAAAAGAAAAAGACAGAAGAAATGTCAAAGTGAAATTCAGAGATACCAACTGTCAAACTTAGTACTTAAGGAAATCAGACATTCCATACTTAATAGCCTACATAATTTTGTGTTCCTAATGAACAGTGTACATATATTAATAATAATAACATTACTGTAATGGCTCATATGTGGCCATACATATGTAATAATATAGTATAATACTGTAACAATAATAAAACCCCTGTTTTGTAATAAATTACAGAAACTATTGTGTTCTTTCTTTTATTTCCAACAAAAGGAACATAAAAACAAACTCATACAAGAAGTTTAGATAGGAGAAATTTCAAAAACAAATATTAAAGGTTAACACTTAATGTTGTATCAACCCTAGGCTAATAAGAATGTTACATGTATTTTGATCTTCTAACAACATCAATAATAACCTTTCTGTTTCAATAATTAATCCACTGTGCTGTTTAGTAATAATTAATGCTTTCATAGGAGCACTGCCTTTCACACACGTTCCATTATTCTCACTTTATCCTTTATAATTGTTCTGAGAGTAGAGCGACTGAAACCTGACGCTTTCCCAAGGAATGATGGTGTCTGGTTTTTCTCTGAACACTTAATTATTTCTACTTTCATTTCTATTGTCATCACCTCTCTTCTCGCTGCAGGATCCCCTGGACTTGTAGTGGACTTTTGCTTTGGAGGCCTGGTCATAAGGGGAAACACAGAATTGAATAAAAAAGGTAAGACGAAAGTAATGCTGTGAGTAAGCGACCATGTAAACAGTGAGACTAGCTGCTAGCACAAAGACGCTGTGTCAAGTAACCACTTACGCCACGCGCGTTCGTTTACATGCGTGGAAGAAACTAGCTCCTGAATTATTAATTTAATTATGTAATTATAAATTATCCTCACAGAGAGCCTTGGGACCCTGTTCATAAGTATGGAACACCGTTACTTGGGTCGTCTGTAAGCCTGGGACTGCCTGTATTCACAACCTGAATATGAAATAATTAAAATTCAGAGGTCAAAATGGAATATTCCCTGGATGAATTCTTACTGAGGACCTATTATATGCCGGGTCCTGAGCTTAGGGTACAAACATGGGGGAGTCCTGGCCCTGGCTTAACAGCTGGTTTGTGATCTTTTGTTTAGCCAGAGGGACACAGGAGGATTCCACCCTTGGTTTGGTTGGGTTCTTGCAGCACCAAGGCAAGGAATTACAGGGGATACCCGGATGTAGGACAAGCGCCCACTGAGGACTGGAGGGAGGACCAGGCACCTGTGCCTCGCTGCTTCGGCCACCTCTCAGTCACAAGTAAAAGGCTTCGCTGAGTGCAGCTGCCCCGGCTCTGGTGTGCCTCACAGGGCCTGCAGGGGCGGAGGCGACCAAGGACCAAAGCTGAAGGGACCCCAGAGGGACAGCTTCCCTAAGCTGTTTGTCCCCACGCTCTAGGCCTCCTCTCCTGACCACATGCCCATCCTTCATGGCAAGTGACAGGAAGGTATTCTGAGGCTGTGGCAGGAATCACCAGTCCTGTATCTTCCTCAAAGCCAGGGCGTCTTGGGGTTGGGTGAAGCCTGCTGTTTCTGCGCTTTTAACTGTCAGTCCAAAACCCAGGCCACGACTGCTGGTAGAGCAGACGGGGCGTTGCAGCCCTGACCTCAGAAAGTGAAATTCCCAACACCTGAGGGCCAAGGAGCCTAGCGAGGTGGCCTTTCATAAGCAGTAGAGACAGCCACCGAATCACCTCAGCTTTGTGAGACTCACTCCACTGGAGGAGCCTCTGCCGAGGTTGTGTGCTCTCCAGCCCAAGTCTGAGCTTAAAAGTTACTTCTTTCAGAAAAAAATATTATAAATGATTACTGTCTATATGGTCAAAATACAGTCCTGTATCGTTTAACAGTGCAGATACGTTCTGAGAAATGTGTCAGGCAATTTTGTCGTTGTGCGAATGTCATAGACTGTGCTTACACAAACCTAGATGGTGTAGCCTACTACACACTTAGGTCATGAGGTATAGCCTATTGCTCCTGGCTCACAAACCCGCACAGCAAGTGACTACTCAGTACTGTAGGCATTTGTAACACAGTGGTTAAGTATTTGTGTATGTAAACATATCTAAACACAGAAAAGGCAAAGTAAAAATATGGTATAAAATATAAAAAATGGTACACCCTCGAGAGCACTTATAGGAGCTCTTAACAAGGCACTTGCAGGACTGGAAGTTGCTCTGGGTGAGTCAGTGAGTGAGTGGCGAGTGAAGGTGAAGGCCTTAGACGCCACTGTACGCCACTGTAGATGCGAACACTGTACACCTAGGCTACACTAAATTTATAAAAAAAATAACTTTCTTCAATAATAAATTAACCTTAGCTTACTGTCACATTTTTACTCTATCATCTTTTAGTTTTTTAACTTTTTGACTCTTTTATCCTAACACAGCTTAAAACACAAGCACCTTGTACAGCTGCACAAAAATATTTTCTTTCTTTATATACTTACCCTATAAGCTTTTTCGTATTTAAAAAGAATTTTTTTTTCCTTTTTAAACTTTTTTGTTAAAAATTAAGACAATAGCACGCATATTAGCCTAGTCCTATACAAGGTCAGGATTATCAATATCACTGTCTTCCTCCTCCACATCTTGTCTCCCTGGAAGGTCTTTGGGGCAGTAGCGCGCATGGAGCTGTCATCTCCTATGGTAATAATGCTTCTTCTGGAACAGCTCCTGAAGGACCTGCCTGAAGCTGTTTTATAGTCAACTTATTTTTATAAGTAGAAGCAGGACACTCTAAAAGAACGATAAAAACTATAATATAGTAAATACATAAACCAGTAACATAGTCATTTATTGTCCTTCTCAAGTCCTAGGTACCATACGTAGTTGTCTAGCTAGTCTAGCAGCTAGACTTTTATATGACTGGTACTGAAGTAGGTTTATACCAGTGTTACCACGAACATATGAGTAATATGTTGTGCTATGATATTATAAGGGCTACAACATCACCAGGCACTAGGAATTTTTCAGTTCCATTATAATCTTATGGGATCATTGCCATATATGTTGTCTGTCATTGGTAGAAATGTTATGTGGCCCATGACTGTATTAATAGTAGTAGTAGTATGCTTCAGGTTTCAATGAGCTAGTATGGAAATATAAGCATGGCCTTCATGTTATATATTTAGATTATCCTGCTTATTTCAGAAAAGATTTGAAATGGCTTACAAGAGTAAAAAATATAATAACCCAGACACATACATTTAGAAACGGGAGGGACTATATTATGAAAAGTAAGTGTGCCTTTTATGAGATATTGCTCAAAAATGGAGCTAACCTCTCATAATATGCACATTAAAATATTAGCCCTTTCAATGAGTTTGGGTTTGGATTGTTCCTGTTTAAATACTCATTGGTGGAATACAGAAACATTAATCATTTGTAAATATAGGAATTATTGTCCATACACAAATCCTGTTTGGTGATACTTTTAATGACAAGCAGACACCCACAAAACAAGTTGTCTACATTGTTCTTCTCACCATCAACATCATCTTGTGCTTTCCCAAGTTCTAGGTGTCTAGGCTAGAAAGTCATTCTTAGCTTTTGCTGAGACTCTAGTTGTGAGCTTCT